ACCCACCCAACCTCTGACAGAGGCAGCAGTGGGAGGGGTAGGCAGCTCCATGGGAGCCAGTATGTGCAGGGAGCCAGCTTCCCCATTACTTCCTGCAGGGAAGTATGCTGAGTTTCCCCCAAGGTTGATTTCTCCTTCCCCATTCCCTTCAACCTATTGCAAGTCCTTTCCTTTTCCCATAGCTTTTCACCTTCCCCGTCCCCACTCCCCAGGCTTCTCATTCTACCAGCTCTCCTCATAGGCAGCTCCATGGGAGCCAGTATGTGCAGGGAGCCAGCTTCCCCATTACTTCCTGCAGGGAAGTATGCTGAGTTTCCCCCAAGGTTGATTTCTCCTTCCCCATTCCCTTCAACCTATTGCAAGTCCTTTCCTTTTCCCATAGCTTTTCACCTTCCCCGTCCCCACTCCCCAGGCTTCTCATTCTACCAGCTCTCCTCACCCAACCAGTCCTAGCTGCTAGGTTGTCAGAGAATCTCCTCTCCCTCCGCCAACACCTCATCCCAGTCTCTGACCAGCCAGCCCACAGTCCAGCTGTTTGCTCTCCCACTCCTTTTCCTCCTATCCCACCCATACTTGTTTCTAACCTATCAGCTTGCTCAGTCTCACAACATCCCCCTCACAGCCCCATTTTCCTCATCAGCTCCTGTCCCTCCCCATTCCCAGTCTCCATAGCCTGCTCCTTGCACAATAGTCCCAAATGGCCATTCCCCACTCCCTATCCATTCCCTTTCATCAGACTCATCCTAATTTTTTGACTATCTCCACCAGGGTCCATTTTTTGTTCTCTTTGCATTCAAGTTAGGCAGCTTCTTCCTCTTGCTGCCTAGGCACCACCTGGGGGATGATTGAATAGCACAGAAAGCCCCTTGGTGTCAGTTCTAGCGCTCTTCCACCACTCCCCCCTGGCCAGCAGCAGCCATTATAGGAAAGCACTGTCTTTGCTCTGTGGGAGCCCTGGGCGGATACATACTAAGTGTGATCAGAGATATGCATGGTGGGAGGCTTGAGCACTAAGGACAGAATCCTTGAAGATTTTAGCTGTGAAAATGCAATTGCCTGAAAAAAGAAAAAAACCTTCCAAGTATGCTCATAGGCTACTTTGGCCAAAAATGAGCAGATTGCCACAGGGATGAGAAAAGGCATCTCTGCCCTACCTGCCACATTTATATTTCTGCTCCCATGTAAGGCAATGCAAGCATATTTCGAGAACACATGCAACAACCCTTTTCCCCTAGACTTATTCTTAACTGAACTAATGGCTGAAAATTTCCAAAGAAAATTCAGCCCAAGGCAGACACACAACATGGAAAAATGTCAGCCCAGTTACAGCTTGGCAATAAGCAACTGGAAACAAGGTACTGTAACAAGATGCACCAGACCATTTTAGTATGCAGTTTTATCAGCTCTACTTCTAACAGCAGGTTTTCTTTCTTCCTGCTTCAGAGCAGTCTCCATCTTCACTATCACCTTCCAGAAAACTGAACAGAGCTGGAAACTACTCCTGCCACTACCTCTTACAATTTCTAGTATCGTCTCTCTCCAGTCCACAGCAGAGTTTAATTTTTGAAGTAAATGGCTTTCTCTCCTAATTTTAAGGGAGCTATTGGCTTTACATATTTAAGATTCATTGTTTTCATTAGCATTCCTCAAAACTTTACAAACCTACAATTAAAATTATCTGACATTTCTGGTTAGCCCTTAACAGTCTCCAGATAAGTCATCCAAGTTCACCTGGTTTTTATACAAATAAAACCTATCACTGTAGAAAAAAGTTAAACATTATTGCTAATGAACTATTCTGTAAAAGAACTAAATCTTCAAACAGCTACTGCATGGATTGTGGTCCTTAGTGCTAGTGTGCTGAGATGCGTTGTGAAAGCCAACTGAAGTGACATTTATCCATATTTTTTGGAAGTTTAACACTTATTTCACTAAAAACTTGGGAGAAAAGTTCTGTTAAGAACTCAAATACCTCACTCCTATTAAGTACTGAGAAAATTTGCACTACATATCTGAGTAGTATATTTCCTTCAAAAATAATAGATCACGCAAATTT